AAACTTTTCTTCTCACTTCTTTTTTTTCCAGTTATTTCTGAATATTCAGATATGCACAAGTCTCAGAATGCCCCAGCCCACTGGGGTCCCAATGCTCAGAGCCACCAAGAAAAATGAACTTACACACTTTTTTTCCTAACAACCTGATACTTATCCTATCAGACTTTCTCCTTTTCTCTAGAAGCTCTTTAAGCTTCTGTAGTGATGGACCTTGTCAAAGGTGGACTGAAAAATCTGAGCAGACCTTATTTTCCTGGATGCCTTTTAACAGCTCCTTAGCACTTAATGACATCCCAGAAAAAAGCCATGTTGACTCTACACCCAGTGCAGTGATTTCTCAGTTTGCCTATTAATTCTTCACTTTATTATGCTGTCACTTTGCCCAATAGAGCTGTAAAAGTCTCTGCTTTCAGATCTTTCTTCTCTCTATTAGAAAAAATGGTGCCACCTTTGCCACCATATTTCCTCTAAAAAGGAGCCCTTCTTCATAATGCTCCACACTGGAACTGTAATGAGATGTCTGATGGTGTTCAAATCTCAGAAGACAATTTAAAAATGAACAGGGAGGAGAAAGCAGGGAAAGAAAAACAAAGAATTTAACACTAAAGCACTGCGCTGCTTATAATTTGGATGCCTCAGTGGAGTAAGCTGGGTATTGGTGAGGTCTTACAAATCACTGAATGTCTTTGGTCTGCAAATGGGTAGAGCAAAAGTTCAACATAGTTTTTAAAAAACCTACAACATTCTTTTATAAGGCAATTTTAGGTCATGAGCTTAAGTAATCTAAGATACTTATTTTCTAAGTTTTGTTTAGATGTTATTATACTGTAATAACAGGTTGGCTTCTTCTATCAGGTAACTAGTGACAGAATGAGAAGTAATGGCCTTAAGTTGCACCAAAGGAGGTTTAGGTTGGTTATTAGGAAGAACTTCATCTTGTAATGAGAATGCTGCCCAGGGAAGTGGTGCAGTCACCGTCTCTGCTGACACTCAGGAAATCTGTAGATGTAGTACTGGGGCCACACTTTAGTGGGCATGGTGGGGATGGGTTGTGGTTGGACTAGATGATCTTAGTGGTCTTTTCCAACCAGGATGATTCTATACTACATATGACAAGTATTGTACTACATTATATATTTACACTTATAAAACATGTAAGTTGCATAATCAACAAGTATATAGATGTATAATCAACGAGTATACAGAGAAGTTAAGCTGGTCTTTAGAGAAATATAGCTGGAAAGACTATCGTGTTGGAAAGGGATAATTAGAAATAAATGCAAGAACTTAGCCATGTCCTGAGCTCGCAAAAAAAAAGACTCCAAGAGGAGTGATCTCCACAGTGATCCTTCCTCAGTGGCAGTCAGCCCTTACATGGGGTCTAGGAGAAGTGGAGCCAGGCTCCACCCCTTCAATTCACACAGCTGAACTGTCTAATTGTCTTCACCTGTGCTCCCACTACTGACTCACTGCTTGCCTCAGGTGATCAATCAGAGGTTCAGGCCATGACTCAGTAGCTCCCATACATAAGTACAACTTGTTCACTCCACTACACTTGTTCATCTCCCCTACACATGTTTTTACTTTATCTAGAGAAATGTTAACAATTTGCTTTGCTTTTGAGGTGGAAACATTTTTAATTGCAAAAGGTAGTATTACAGGCCTTGATAACAAAAAGCTGTATCTATTTGCAACAGAATTCTTATTACTTATAGCACCATGATATGTTTTACATATGCTGGCTATCCTTTCCTCCTTAGGTCTAGCAGGCTGTGAGTACAAAAAGCTAACTAGGCACTAATTTATAGTATTACTTCTCTGAGTTTAGTAAGATGAAATGTATTTCCTACTTATTACTGAATGTCATGTCTGATGTGGTGGGTGTGAGAGCTAAATCTAGGAAAAGTAACAAGACGTAGTTATGGCTTATCACTTTGCAATCTAATCTGTCAATCATCTGTAAGGAATTGATGCACTCAAAGTTATACAGCCTGATTATTAGATTGGTCTGATTCTTTAATTTCTTGGAGGTAGTTCTTATTGTTATACAGTTTTATTATACTTATTAACAGGGTTAACATCTAAGCAAAAGATGAAGTAACAGCAGATAAGCAGAATAAGCTTTTGCTACAAGCTCTAAATACACTGAACTTCCATTGCTAGGCTCTCACAGTATACTCAAGTTGCAGCAGGTGTAGCAATTGGAGAGATCAATGCAATGGGAAAGGCATTAAAACAAAGATGAAATGACAGAAGGATCAGCACGATAGAAAGATGTTATAAAGGAAAAGAAGAAGATTGCTTACCCGTATTATCAGAAGATTCCAGGTTCACAGTAGAAATCTTCCCCAAGGAGGGATCTTCAGAAAGAGATCCTTCCCCAGTAGCAGTCAGCCCTTAAATAAGGTTTGAGAAGTGCAGCCAGGCTCCACCCCCTTAGCTGCACAGCTGAATTGCCTTCACCTGTGCTCTCAGTGCTGATGAGGTCCTCTCCCCAGGTGCTCAATCAAAAGAAATGGTTCATGCCATGACTCAACAGATTCCATATAAGAAGGTCATAGCAGTTTCATGGGGACAGATGTGATACTAATTCTAAACTATCCATACATTTTTCAACTGACTGATATAGAATAATCATATTCAGTTCAGGCTGACTATTGTGGGTACCATGCTAAGATGCCATGTACTCATTATTAGGATAAATACCAAGAAACAACAATACAAATACATCTTTATGACACGTAACTTTATTAATAATGGTCTTGGATCTGTCGCACCTACCAGGTGCCTGTCTTTTTTCACACTCTGCAAGACTTTCTGAAGAATAAACTAGAAAGGCATAAAGTTAGTTGAAGCTACTAAGACACACATTTGTAGGTGGGTCTGTTTTGGACTTTTTTTTTTCTTTTTAAACAGAAGTTTCTATGAATGTGTGCCAAAAGACAAAATTAAATACGTTGAGAAATACAGTAGAAAGACTATATTTACAGTCAATTATAACGGGCACTGCCAACATATCCAATAACAAAAATAAAACAAAAACTTTTTTTCATGTTTCTTTCATGCTTTTTTTCACAGAGATTTTTAAATATGATTTTGTTTTTAAAAAATACAATAAGGAAATAATTACATTCTTAATATGAGAACATTATCTTACAACACACAGCCTGGGCCAATTAGTTTGAAAGTGTCTTAAATGAAAAAAAAAAAAAAAAAAAAAAAAGATAGTAAATTAAGTACTCTCCCTCTGAAAAATCAAATTACCACAATCATCTCATTAAAAAAACCCACATTTGATCCCCCAAGATTATGATGTTGTCTTTAAAAAATCATCACCTATTTATTAAAAAAAATTTCAAAGCACCTGGTACAGTAACAACAGTTTGAGGAAGCACGAGTATAACATCTTGTCAAAAGACACAGAAATGCAATGGTTTAAAATACAATGTTTTTCCATTAAAAAAGTCATACTGCTCTATTGCTGACTTTGTCTGGTGATCCTGAAATCATAAAAACATGGAAAATACAAGCTCTGTTGCTTTTCATATAAATCGCACAGCAACAGTACTGTTAAACAAAATGGAATGTATTTCACAGCACTGGATGTGGTCTATCAAGAGGTTATTTCCAGAGTTGTTGTTTGCTGTTGTTTCATCCTTTCAAAACCTTGGCTATTATACAGAATAGATATGTCACTAAGGATAATTGCAGTGTTACCAATGCACTTAGACATTAGAAACATACAATTACAATATGGGGTTACAGGGGAGGGGGAATGGCTTGAAGGACCCTTTGCAGGAGGACAGGTGAAAGGGCATGGAAGATACAACACCAATATTGGGTAAATAAGATTGACTCAAAGGAATTGAATTTGATTACTTTTGATTACTCTGCGTTACTTGACGTGGGACCACTTAATGGCAACTGTTCCATCCTTGCAAATGTTGACTAGAAGCCTAATTTCATCATAAATATGTACAGATATAAAATAAATATTTATTGAAATATACAAATAAATAACTTAATTTGAAATAAAAAGCCTAAATGAACTTACTTTTCTTTCAAATTTATTTCTGCTAAAATTTATGGGAACTTGATACTGCTTAGTCCATAGTCATACAGTATGGGATGTACTCTCCACTTACAGAGTCAGTAAGTAAGCAGACCTAAACTAATATAAAATATATATATATATATCCTGGTTTCACAGAGAACCACTTTGATATTTGTTTCCCATTATATTTGCATTCTCGTGGCTCCTTGTGCAAAGCACAGTCCCAATAAGCAAAGAGCCTTCTCTAATTTTGAGCCCCATTTCTTTTCTCCTCTGCTAAGGTCAGTTAGATCCCTAACTGCATTTGGGAACAGGATGTAGCCCTTGGATATGGACTGCTATGGACCTACTTTTCAAAAGCACTTGGCATTCACGGTGGCCTGACTGGAGCGAGCTGCCGTGTGTCGAGACTTTCTGACAGCTCAGCGCTGGGGCCCTGGGTTTACTGATCCAAACAGCTCCCACAGGAGTTCCTCTGAGGCAGGTCAGGAATGAGCTGAATGCTCAGCTGACCACATCAGCTGTCACAACCTGTGTAGGCTTCAGGACTTACAGTTCTTCCTAAAGGGAAGAGGCAACCTGTGGGCCTGGGCCATAAAGAGATCTCCATCCTTGATAACTATTGCATTGCCAGCTTCTGCGACTTTAAATTGCAAGTCCTAACCATCTATCAAGATTCCAGCCCTAACTTTTCCAATTATCTCAAAATATGAGTACTATTTCAATTTTCTTAAATTAGTTTTTTAATCTTCACAGTTGAGGAGAATCTTGAGAACATGACTGAAGGCTCTCCAAAAGCTTAAAAAAAAAAAAAAAAAAAAAAAAAAAAAAAAAAAAAAAAAAAAA